CATATTACCAGTTTTATACAAACACTAGAAAAAAACAGACAATAAAGAAACACATCTTTACCTTACATTGTATCAAAATATTAACGGTAATCTTAATATCTTTTTTTTCCCCTCCGTCCCATCCCCCTCCCTCCCAGTATACAACCTACCTCCCCTCCCCCTTCCCCTCCCCCCCCCCCCCCCATCCCCTCCCCTCCCCTCCCAGTATACAACCTACCTCTCCCCCTCCCCCTCCCTTCCCTTCCCCAACCTCGACTCTGCATTCCTCATACTTCTTCTTGAGATCCTTATCTGAGAATATTTCTAGTTTAATCCCATATTGATCACCTATAACCTCTCTTCTCTGTTACATAAACTCTAAAAGTAAATTCAACTTTTTAAATCCCTCCCATTTTTCCCATCTTATACGGAAACTCTGCATCTTATCTTCGTCCATGTCAGGAATGGACTTGCCAATAATGGTGGGACTCACCTGCCTTGTGGGCTGCAGTACCAGGGCTGGCCAGAGGGTGCTCTCAGCAATCAGAGACTCACCCCTGCAATGAGCCATCACCTGAAGCTGATTGCAGGGGTTGTATTTAAGGAATGGCCAGACTCACAGTCAAGGCCGTGGTGTGTGTTTTCCATGGGCCCCTGTATCCTGTATCCTGTATCCTGTATTCCTGTTCCTGTTTCTGTCTGACTTGTTGCCGACCCTGCCTGATCCTGACCTCTGCGGACTTCTCCTGCTTGATCCCTGGCTTGTGACCCTGACCATTCTCTGCCTGCTCCTCTGTACCGCGCTGCCCGTGAGTTACTGAACCCAGCTTGTGACCCCGACCACTCTCCCGCCTGTTCCTGGTACTCCGTTTGCCCGTTTGCTACTGACCGGCCTGCCTGACGACGCTTGCATTGTATGTATTGTTATCTGTGGGTGGTTTGGTTGGGTTGTTTGCACTGTATTATGTTTAGTATTGCACTGCGTTTATGTTTGTATTGTTAGTATTAATAAATTATATTGTTTATACCATATCTGAAGCCTGCGTTTCCCTGCGTCAGTCCACACACCTCTGGTCATACCTGGAGCCCTGACAGTCCATATGACAAAGTTCCTCCAATCTGTATATCTGATCCTCCCTATCTATCCAATCCTTTGTTTTTGGTACTCCTTGTTCCTCCAGAATTTGGGTATCAAGCCCTTCGCTGCATTCAAATAATACAGAAAACCCGATTTTTTTATATGTTTTCGCTGAGAGCTTAGTCCATGGAAGAGACAAATCTCTGGGTCTTTTGGGATATTAACCTCCAATATTTTCTGAATCAGGCTAACTATTCCCCCCCAATACTCTTGGATTTTAGGACAAACGCGTCAAGCCTGTGGATCGTTGAACATACGCCGCCGGTGCCTCTACCGGCCCGGCGGCCAACTTTAATTTTAGGGTGTGGGTCACTTTCCCCCCTTACCTGATTACATGTGCTACACTCGGTTTTGTAAAATATACCATAATTACTACACTATGAGTATTCTTTGTGTCCTCTGTGATTCTCTCTCCCAATTTCCACAGCCACAGATATTTACAATCCCAGCCCTGTGAATTGAAGAGGAATATCTATCCTGGGATTTTGCAGGATTTCGCTTTTCACTCATCGTCATCCATTTCACTCCGAAATCCTTTTTCTGACCAGAGGGAGGGAGGGGAATTCCTCTATAAATGATGGCCTTTAAATACGGGTTAGTTTGCATTCTTTCCAGTGGGAATTAATGAGCACCTTTTCAGGACTATTATTGTGAAATTTGCATGATTTGATCATTTTACAGCGCCCATTTTCTATGTATAAGGCTAACTATTCCCCCCCCAATCCTCTTGGATTTTAGGACACTCCCACCAAATGGTCATTGTACCTCAACTTCCACATCAGGCCAACATACGGGTGCCGGGGAACGGACCTTATCAGATACGCCCCCAGTCGGAATGTCATACACACATGTGCCTAACACATGTAACGCACTGCTGACGATCCATGTGCTACACCACCATCTTACCAAACCGTAATTCATTTCCACCTCTTCCTATTCACATTCCCGTGAATTAATCTATAATTTTCCCAGGCTTTTCCCTATCACTCCGAAATCCCTTTCCCAATTCTCTATAAATGATGACCTTATAACCGGGATTCATCCAGTGAGGATCTTATATATGTTAGAAATTCCGTGTTTCCCATCCCCCGTGTGTCGAAAGGGTTCCAATCCCGAGATTCTGAATGGTCTTGGGAGCTTCCTGTCAGGGCAGGGGCCGGGGGGAACGGACAGGCAGGCAATGTAACGCACTGGCTGACGACAACCACCACCCACAGACCGAAGTCCCTCAAGAGTCTAAGTCCCAGGCTGCCCTTCACCAGGGCCCCTGATGGTGGGGATGGACTTGACGCAGCCAGGACACCAGGTCGCGGCCCCCGAGACACCCACAGCTGCGGTCATGGCCGCCGCCAATGGCGTGTAGCAGGTGCCAGAGACAAAAGAGTAGTCAGACAAGCCTGGGGGGTAGGACTAAACAGCAACAGGACAGCAGACGAGAATCACAGTCCCATCAACAGAGGGTCAGAGAGAATACAAAGAATAGTCGAGTCACAAGCCGAATCAGATACCAGGAGAGTCACGAGAGTCAGAACAGAGTAATAGCAACACAAAGACACAAGACACAAGTGCAAAGAGCATGTGCGGGCCACAGGCTTATATGTCATCAGCCACACCCCTCTGGGGGATGGACCACAGAGACCTGAAGGCATAAAAGGATTCCCACCATGCACAGCAGAATCCAAGATGGACGCCAGCATATGGAGTAACATAACCTCAGGGAAAAGGTAGGACCTTGACACTTCCCTATAAAATGTTTAAGTTGAAAATATCCCCACTCATCCATTCTCATAAATATTTCACTCTTATATTTAATTTCCTTAAGTGAACAAACTTCCTCCCCCGCCATTATATCTCTCAGCTGTACATCCTCCTTCTTTATCCACTTCCCTGTGATACTTTCTTTACCTGGAGGAAAATCTCTGTGGACCCTAAAGGCATTAACGGTGAGTTAAATTCCCATCCCATCTGTTTGTGTAAATCATCCCACACTCTTATAACATTTTGTGTAAACAAACTTGTACTGTCTGCTAATCCTCGGTATTGAGGAGGTAACCATACATTTCTGCTCAAATTTATACAACTTTGTGTATTTTTCTATTTTTACCCAACTTTTCCCATGTGAGTTATGCGTCCAATCAAAAATTCTCACCAATATTACCGAGTTGTAGTATCTTTTCAAGTCTGGTACTCCCAGCCCACCTTTCTCTATATCTCTACTTAAGATTTCGTAGCATATTCTGGGTTTTTTATTCCTCCATATAAATCTAGTTAACATTTTTTTAATTATTCTAAAATATACTTCTGGTAATTTAATTGGTATCATTTGAAATTTATACAACATTTTTGGAACAATTACCATTTTTATCAGGTTTATGCGTCCTATCCATGACAAAGCTCCCCACCCTAATTTCCTTGGTTCATCCTTGACTCATTTAATAATGGAATATAATTTGATCTATATAAATTCCTTGAAGATACAGGTAATTTTATTCCTAGGTATTTTAATTTTCTCTCTCTCCAAACAAAAGGGGAATTCCTCTTGTAACATTTTTTTTTTCTCTGTGTGGGAGATTTATATTTAAGATCTCTGTTTTTGTTGGGTTGATTTTTAAATTTGACATCTCACCATATTCTTTCAGTAATTTCATTAAATTTGTCAATGTTATCCTTAGGTTTCCCACATAGAACAGCATGTCATCTGCGTAAGCTGCCACCTTGTGCTCTGTTTCTCCTATCCATATCCCTTTTATATCTGTGTTGTTCCTTACTTTGGCTAATAGCGATTCCAGTGATATGACATATAACAATAGAGACAAAGGACATCCCTGTCTGGTTCCATTTTGCATCCTGAAAAACTCAGAGACTTCCCCATTACCCATGATTGCTGCAGAGGGTTGACTATATAATTTCCTTATCCATTCCCTCATTCTAGGTCCCATCCCCAATACTTCCAATGTATCTAACATAAATCCCCAGTCTACTCTATCAAATGCCTTCTCAGCATCAATCGAGAGTACCAACGCGGGAGTTTTCTCTTTTCTACTTTTCTGTATGAGAAACAGAGATCTTAATCCATTATCTCTGCCCTCCCTTCCTGGGACAAAGCCTACTTGATCTACATGTATCCATTTCGGCATTAGGTCTTTCAACCTATTTGCCAAAACTTTTGCACAAAGTTTAGTATCTGTATTTAATAAGGAAATCGGTCTATAACGTGAACAGTGAGTATCATCTTTACCTTCCTTATGTATGAGGACAACATGGGCTTGCAGGGATTCGCTCCTCATTTCCATCTCTCCTCCCAAAGCATTCATATATATTCTCAGTTTGGGTACTAATACTTCTTTATATTTTTTTAGAGTATCTCACTGTGTACCCGTCAGGCCCTGGACTTTTTCCCAGCGGTAGTACTTTTTAAAGCTAAATATATTTCTTCCTGCGTTATTACTATTTCAAGGGACTGTAATTATTCACTTAATTTCGGTAATCCCGCTTTTTTTATATACCTACCTTCTTTTTTCTATTTTTCCTACTTCATCTTTTATGGTACCAAGGGGACTAATATTATATAGCTTATTATAGTATTCTTTACACACTTTTGCTATTTCTTTAGTTGAATACACTAAGTCTCCTTTATTATCTCTTATTTTCTCTATATCATTTCTAGATTTTTTTTTTCCTCTGAGTCCTCATTAACTACTTGCCAACCGCAGATAGCTGAATGACAGGTACACTGCGGCCGGCCAGTTCTGGGAGGGCGTCATATGCTGTCCTCCCAGAATGCGCTCTCCTGCGCGCCCCCGGAGGCACACACCCGGCAATCTCCATGATCGTTGTGTCCTACAGACACAGCTGATCACGTGATGTGGTAAAAGGCCAATCACAGCGGCCTTTTTCCACATGATCAGCCGTGTCCAATGACACGCTGATCACCGGGAAATGCAATTGCCGGTTCTCGGCTGCACTTTCCTCACGCTATCAGAGTGTGAGGAAAGTACTGCCGACAACTGGCAGTTTTCAGAACAGGGATCGGCACCAATCATCAGGGCACTGATGATCAGTGCCCTGATGATCAGTGCCCAGCAGTGCCACCTACCAGTTCCGCCCACCTGTGCCCAGCAGTGAGCCCACCTGTGCCACCCAGCAGTGCCCACACACCTGTGCCCAGCAGTGCCACCTACCTGTGCCCAGCAGTGCCACCCACCTGTGCCCAGCAGTGCCACCCACCTGTGCCCATCAGTGCAGCCCAGCAGTACTGCCAGTCAGTGCCACCAGTCAGTGCCCAGCGGTTGTGCCAGTCAGTGCCCAGCAGTTGCGCCAGTCAGTGCCTAGCAGTGCCGCCAGTCAGTGCCCAGCAGTGATGCTAGTCAGTGCCACACTATCAGTGCTGTCTATCAGTGCCACCTATCAGTGCCGCCTATCCTTGACACCTCATTAGTGCTGCATATCAGTGCCGCCTATCAGTGCTGCCTATCAGTGCCCCAGTGCCCCCTATTAGTGCCCATCAGTACTGCCTCATCAACGCACATCAGTGAAGGAGAAAAATTACCTATTTGAAAAATTTTATAATAGAAACAAAGAAACGTTTTTTTTTTTCAAATTTTTTGCAATTTTTTTTGTTTATAACACAAAAAGTAAAGCGCCCAGTGGCATTAAATACCACCAAAAGAAAGCTCTATTTGTGAGAAAAAAATGATCAAAATTTCATATGGGTACAATCTTGCATGACCGCGCAATTGTCAATCAAAGTGCGACAGCGCTGAAAGCTGAAAATTGTCCTGGTAAAGAAGGGGGTATAAGTGCCCGGTAGGCAAGTGGTTAAGTACTTTTCTGGTCTGTCTCCCCATCTATATCCCTCACTTATCATTTTATTGAACACTCTCCTCTTATCTTCTTCCAGGAAATTATTTAATTCTTCTTTTTTATTACCCTCTAGATAATCTCTTTTGTTACTCTATGTTTATGCATCTGCTCTAAATCACACAGTTCACTAAGAAGCGCATTTATTTTTTCTTTTCTTTCCCTCTTCTTCTTTGCTCCTATCTCTAGTAAGATTCCTCTGATATAGGCATTATGAGCTTCCCACACCGTTGCTACAGACACTTCCGCAGAATCATTTTCCTCAAAAAATTGCTCTATTTCTTTTTTAATTCTCTGGTCCGTCTCTTGATCCTGAAGAAGTGTCTCATTTAACCTCCATGATTGTCGACCGTTCTGCTCATTTCCCCATAGTAATTGCATTGTGACAGGAGCATGATCTGAGATTGACATGACTTCTATTTTACTTTAACCAGAGACTCAATGGGGTTTATTTACTAAAGCTGGAGAGTCCAAAATCAGACTCCCTTCTGCATAGAAACCAATCAGCTTCTAACCTCACTTGTTCAATGAAGCTTTGGATGAAACCTGGAAGCTGATTGGTTTCTATAGGGAGTCGATTTTGGTCCAACCCCAATAAGTATGTAGTCCAATCTTGAATACATCTCATGTACCTGAGAATAAAATGTATAGTCCCCTGCCTTTCGTATGCTTAATTCTCCATATATCTATATGTTGACATTGATGTAACATTTTTTTTCAAGGATTTCAAAGACCTACTACCATCTCTCTGCACCGGAGAAGTCGTATCTATCTGGGGATCCATACACAGATTGAAATCTCCTGCCACACTTAAACCACATTTTTTGAAATCCAATAGTTTCCTCAGAGTATTTTTAAGAATACCTCCGGTTTCTTATTCAGGCATAAATATTTGCCATCCAATCCCTGCCTGTGCCTTGTGTGTTCCGGGATCCCTGCCTGTGCCTTGTGTGTTCCGGGATCCCTGCCTGTGCCTTGTGTGTTCCGGGATCCCTGCCTGTGCCTTGTGTGTTCCGGGATCCCTGCCTGTGCCTTGTGTGTTCCGGGATCCCTGCCTGTGCCTCGTGTGTTCCGGGATCCCTGTCTGTGCCTCGTGTGTTTCCCGGGATCCCTGCCTGTGCCTCGTGTGTTCCGGGATTCCTGCCTGTTGCCTTCCCCCCCCCCCCCCCCCCCCCCCCACCCCCCCCCCCCCCCCCCCCCCCCCACACCCCCCCACCCCCCATACCCCCCCCACCCCCCCCCCCCCCCCCCCCCCCCACCCCCCCCCCCCCCCCCACCCCCCCCCCCCCCCCACCCCCCCCCCACCCCCCCCCCCCCCCCCCCCCCCCCCCCCCCCCCCCCCCCCCCCCCCCCCCCCCCCCACCCCCCCACCCACCCCCCCCCCACCCCCCCCCCCCACACCACCCCCCCCCCCCCCCCCCCCCCCCCCCCCCCCCCCCCCCCCCCCCCCCCCCCCCCCCCCCCCCCCCCCCCCCCCCCCCCCCCCCCCCCCCCCCCCCCCCCCCCCGCCCCCCCCCCCCCATACACCCCCCACCCCCCCCCCCCCCCCCCACCCCCCCCCCCCCCCCCCCCCCCCCCCCCCCACCACCCCCCCCCCACCCCCCCCACACCCCCCCCCCCCCCCCCACCCACCCCCCCCCCCCGCCCCCCCCCCACCCACCCCCCCCCCCCCAAACACCCCCCCCCCCCCCCTCCTCCACCACCACCCCCATACCCCCCCCCACCCCACCCCCCCATACACCCCACCACCCCCCACCCACACCCCCCATACACCTCCCCCCCCCCCCTCCACACACCGCCATACTCCCCCAAACACACCATCCGCCATACACCATCCAAACTTGCCACCACCCGCCATACACCTCCATACACCTCCACACACCCCCATACTCCTCCACACACCCCTAATACCCTCCAACACCCCATACTCCCCACAACCGCCATACACCTCCACCCACCGCCATACACCCCCACACCGCCAAACCCCCCCACCACCACCATACACCTCCGCACACCACCATACACCTCCCACCACCTCCCATCACCCCCCACACACATTTTCTAGCACACTTTACAATCAACAGGAATTTATGGTTCACATACATGGCAATACATGTTCAAGCTGGCCGACTACGACAAAGTAATCCCTCTCCTGGCCAGTCCTTACTCTACCCACCTGAAGACCTCCTAATGTACATATATGTTGCGGCTTTCAAGTGGTATAGTGGGATGATATCTGCAGCTACAGACATCATCCTGGTATTGGTTGTTTCTGCTGCTGGACGGCTTGTTTGTATAATCCATCCTAGAAGATAATTAAGCCGCTGTATTGCTTTTACATTCGGTGGAAGCGGTCCTTCCCTCCACTGACTGCCAGTGCCTCTCTGGGCTTTGTGTCCCAACAGAGAACCCAGAACTGAAGCCAATGATCCCCCAGCTTACAAAAGAACTTTTTGAGGACCAGAAGGTCCCTCATGAGCTCTATGGTATATGAAACTGGAAGCAACGAGCATTGTCATCACTTCTGGTTTCCCTGGATGTAAACAGCGCCATTTGTACCCACTTGGCCCCGCCCACAATGTACTGCAGTTGAGTGGTGGCTACAGGCAAAGCAATGTACCTGTATGTCACCTGATACTTCTGGGTTTTGAGCACAACATGTGGCACGCCCCCCCCCCCCCCCCGCTGACCCTACCTGCCCATTTGCTGCATCAGCGGGTCCTGGCCAGTGATTGTTACACGGGACTCTGCTGATCCCTGCAGTGAATGGAGGAGCAGTCCTGTGTCTGGATTTTGTATATAGAGGTCCAGGAACTAGCTGGTTCTTCTCTCTCTGGACCCTTCTCATTCCGGAGAGAGAAGAGAGAGCCACACTGTGAGGAAAATGTTAGATTAGCACATTTAACCCTTTGATTGCCCCTAGTAACCCTTTGATCCCCTGGTCCCATCACCCCAGCCAGTGCCATTAGTACGGTGTCAGGGTATAGTATTTTTCACTGATCACTGTATTACTGCCACTAGTGACATCTAATACCATCAGGGTCAGTTAGCGCCCCTTCCAGCCAGGGTCAGATTTTTTGATATCCCCGCACACCATCGTACTCATGCTATAGATTGCTGATCACCCCCATTACTAGTAGAGTGTTTGTACAGATCAATATATTGATCAGGAACAGAACTATACCAGTGCCTCCTTAGTATAGTGTCCCCAAATATGCAGTGTTAGCAGGCTTACCCCATTCACTGCCAGCTCTAGTATTTAGCCCCTCCTCCCAGCAAGAAGTGCAGTGTCAGTGTCATTTCTGATCACTGTCACCTATGATACATTGCAACACAAAACTGCAGCATTAGCACAATCAGGCCTGATCTCTGCTAGCACTAGCAGGTGAATTATATTGGTAGTGGTTCAAGCAGTACCTGACAGCTAGGCGCTCTTTTTTCCCCGTGCATCGTACTAGGTACTGTAAATTTAGAGCCCAAAATTCCACAAAAGAGGTACGTGAAGAGGCCTACAAGATTCTGCAAACATGTCAATGAGAGCAAAGGGGAAGCCTCTCTGACAGAATCTGCCTCAAAATACGAACCTGTAGAAAACAGCGGCACCCTGACAGGTAGCTCAGAGATGGAGAAGAGGCCCCTGCTGAGATCAGGTGTACCCAACCCCATGTACCTGAAGTGCTGGGATCACATGATTTGTCTCACATGCAGCAGAGTGCCAGTACTAGTTGCCATGCTACCTTTTGGTGAACTGGTGAGCACAGCGGCCTAGGACATCCTCGCCTTTTACATACCAGCACTGCAGTGTCACTTGGTGATGTGGTAAGTCCCAGGAGTGCAGTATAGCTGGTGTGGTGGTGAGCACAAGTAGCATCCTGCAGGCCACCAAGAATTGGCACACAGACCTGTAGAGCCCATCACCCAGCCAGTCCCCCCTATAGAATCCACCAACAATATATCAGGGTCATGTCTGGCATTTCACAAAATCCCTTTATCAGTAATAAAGTTCCTCATCTCACCTCCATGCAGAACAAGATTGCAGACATCATCTGTCCAGGGGGGGTGAGAGAGTGCCACCAACATTCCCCTTCTGGAGTCCCGAAGCTAGAAGAGTGACTCCTGCCGTGTCATCTGATGCTTGGTGCAGTGGCCCCCAATATTACCAGAACCCCCCAGTGTATGCTTTGTGGGAGCTCCAAAGTAGGGAGGAGGGTCAGTAACAGAGGGTGCGTTCAGCTCCAAAACCTTTCGTATTGGACGTTGTAGGTGAATATTACGGGAGGTTGGGCCAAGAAGTGTAAGTGTCCTATATAGCCTGCACTGTTAGACTCTGTCCTTCCACAGCCACTTCCTGTGCATTTCCCCTATATGCCCTATAGGGGTCAGTGTGAGGGGAGCGCACACACCAGCAGGGGGGAGGATGGCCAAGGGGGGTCACTTTCACACCGTCACATTCAGAATATTTCTCAATGGAAGGATTTGTGCACATTTGACTGTTTATTGGGACTTTATTGGCCACACTTATCGGATTGTGTGAAGTCTCAGCCGGGTGTTTACTGCCACTTCTGAAGATCCATCATTTCCTGCACAGGATTGGGACTTGTTTCCTTTATTAATACATCTATTCTATAGTATTGTGTGCTTTATATTTGGGGGTTATTCATCCTCTGCCCGGGTGTTTATTGCTTTTCACCTTTTTTGTCTTTTCTAGCTCCTTGACCTTTCACTTCTCTATCTATTCTTCTTGTTTTATGAAGATCTTCCATTTGGACCCCCAGCAGGGTGTTTTATTACTCTCTATGTCTTTGTATTCATTTATTCATCATTGACCATTTCTGAGTCTATCTTTTCACATTGGACCCCCAGCAGGTGTGTTTACTATTGTTTATTTACTGATGAATGATTCCTGTCCTATTTGGAGTTTCTTCGTTGTCTTGTCACATAGGAGCTCTGTGATTGGCTGTGTCGGGTCTTTACTTTTGTTGGATGAAAACTTTTTGATCATTAGTAAGGAGTAGCGCAGCACATTTATTTCAGTCATTTCCCCACATAGTGAACCTTGCTGCGTTACCCATCCCCCCTTCCACAATAGAAATAGGAACATGATGGGACCGCGTTATAGCGTGGATCCCCGAATTAGTCTGGCCATACATGATACAATCTTCTTCTTCAATCTCCTTTAGATGGACCTTACACTATGTAGTACAAGGGCCGGCCTGATTGCATACAAATTGGAAGTGTTTAGGTCGGACCTCAAATTCTATGGTTTTGGTAAATCTAAAGGAAAATTGTACAAGAAGATTGTCTAATGTATGGCCAGCCTTAGACATCTGTTGAAGAAAGATCTGATCTGCCATAAACAAGTCTATGAATAGGTGAGGCGAGGGCTTAGAAGAAATGCTGTAGGACCTGTCGGTGGAATGCCGTTATTTGCAATTTTCAGGCATTTCCATGCATCGGTCGGCAGGTATGTGTGGGGGAGGAGCCAGAGATGTCCATGGTGACGCCTGGAATGGCACTGAAATCTGCACAGACGAGTAAATGGCCTCTCCTGATTTTCTGCACTTTTTCCATACTTTGTACAGGAAGGAAAGCGGTGGGGAGTCGGGCAGATATCGGGTCACAATGGTACATTGAGGGTTATTTATCTCACAGACCAGAATGATGGATCTTCCTGATTCATCGGTAACAATATGGAGGAGTCTGAATGTCAGGGGTCTGTGATTGCTATCAGCACTCCTCGTTTTCTCTCTGACAGATTGGACAGAAATATAGTGGGAACACTTATGACGTACAGGAAGGGGTGTTGGATTTGTAGAAGTGTAGTGCAGACCCCAAGCTGGTCCCTCTGTTTGGTCCCAGGTTCCATTCCCTATTGGGTGATGACAGGCCAGGCACACAGCAGCTCCCCAGTCTCTCAATGCAATAACCAGGCAATGAGGGTCTTTGTGAAGTTCCATGCTGGTTACACTTGGTTGGAGTGTCGGGGGAGCGTTAGGATTCCCAAAATTCAGTGACAACGGTCACAGAGGACACTCTCTGGTAGTAGCTTGTAGGCAGGTGCAGTCTACTTCCTCCACTGCAGGTGGCGCTCTTCCACAGTGGCACTGTTGTTGGAGAAGAAGCCAAGAGAAAAAGGTCATATTGGATGCTGCCTCCCCATGTGACCCTAGCAGCCATCTTGGGTCAGGCAGATCCTATTCTCGGCCCTGGCTCCCAGGTTTGGTGTGTATTTTGTGAGTTGGTAGAGTAGGGACAGGTACCCCCCTGGTAGGGACAGTACAAGAGGTAAGGGACAGATTCCTGATGAGGAGGGAAAAGCGTAGGGTCACAACTCCTTGGACATCCTCCATCTTGGGCACGAGACGGCCAGGCCGCACTCTGATCTCTTTACAGATGCTGTCAGTCTGGCTGATCCCCGCTCTCACATTACTGGAACCCGTGAGTGCACCCCATTGGCCAACTGTCCCACCAGTATCCCACTTATCCTGATGGCATGTGTCCCCCAAAAACTGATGGCCAGTTTCCCTCCTGTTATCCTGATTTCCAGTGTTCTCCACCCTTTACCCTAATTTCTAGTGTCCCCCCCTTACTCTGAAGGCTAATGTTGCCCATTACCCTGATGGTAAATGTCCCCCTTACCCTGGAGGCCCGTGTCCCCTCCCTTTACCCTGATGGCCAGTTTCCCTCCCCTCATTCATAAAGCCAGTGACCCCCCTTACCTGCTGACCAGTGTCCCATTTTACCTTGAAAGCCCAGTGATCCCCCTTACCCTGATGGCCAGTGATCACCTTTACCCTTATGGCCAGAATCCCCCTTTATCCTAATACCCAGTTGTCAGGAACTGCCTTCCATGGACAATTCTGGGCCGGCCGTTGCCGAGGCAACCTAGCCGAGTCCCACTTGGTTTTCAAAACTCTCGCACAGGAAGCAGCCCTTCTCTCTTTGTTCCTGTCCATGCTGCTGGAATCATCTTGCTCGCAGAAGGATGCTGGGAGGCTCGGGTGAGGGGGACTGAGCCTCCCCAGCCACCCCCCCTACACACTCTGCAGACCCCCAAAAGGTCAGGACTGTAGCCCTCTGCAATACCCCAGGGTTGGGAGTCTCCACAGCTCTGCATGAGCCTTCTCTGCTGAGTGCCCTGGGAGCTGCTGCTGAGGGACCCTGAACACTGTCCGTGGCTGCGTGTCCCTGGAGACTGTCTGCTGCTGAATGTCCGGGGAGCTGCTGCTGAGGGACCCTGCACACTATCCGTGGCTGCTTGTCCCTGGAAGCCGTCCGCTGTTGAGTGCCCGGGGAGCTGCTGCTGTCTGCTAATCACTGGTTGTCCCTGGAACGCTGACCGCTCGTCGTTCCTGTCTGCAGCCGCCTGCCGCTGAGGGTCTGCAAGCTTCTTACCGTGAGTGTCCTGAACTGTCCCTGTTGTGCACACTGACCAACCGTGTCCTGAACTGTGTCTGCTATGTGCACCAACCACCCGTGTCCTGAACTGGCCCTGCTGTGTGCACCGACCACCCGTGTCCTGAACTGGCCCCGCTGTGTGCACTGACCACCTGTGTCCTGAACTGTCCCTATTGTGCGCACTGACCACCTGTGTCCTGAACTGTGTCTGCTGTGCGCACCGACCACTCGTGTCCTGAACTGTCCCCGTGGTGTGCACCGACCACTTGTGTCCTGAACTGTCCCCGCTGTGTGCACTGACCACCCGTGTTCTGAACTGCCCCCGCTGTGCGCACCGACCACCCATGTTCTGAACTGTCCCCAGTCTGTGCACCGACCACTCGTGTCCTGAACTGTCCCCAGTGTGCGCACCGACCACCCGTGTTCCGAACTGCCCCGCTGTGTGCACTGACCACCTGTGTCCTGAACTGTCCCCGCTGTGTGCACTGACCACCCGTGTCCTGAACTGTCCCCGCTGTGTGCACCGACCACTTGTGTCCTGAACTGTCCCCGCTGTGTGCACCGACCACTTGTGTCCTGAACTGTCCCCGCTGAGGGTCTGCAAGCTTCTTACCGTGAGTGTCCTGAACTGTCCCTGTTGTGCACACTGACCCTCCGTGTCCTGAACTGTGTCTGCTGTGTGCACCAACCACCCGTGTCCTGAACTGGCCCCGCTGTGTGCACTGACCACCTGTGTCCTGAACTGTCCCTGTTGTGCGCACTGACCACCTGTGTCCTGAACTGTGTCTGCTGTGTGCACCGACCACCCGTGTTCTGAACTGTCCCCAGTGTGCGCACCGACCACTCGTGTCCTGAACTGTCCCCGCGGTGTGCACCGACCACTTGTGTCCTGAACTGTCCCCGCTGTGTGCACTGACCACCTGTGTTCTGAACTGCCCCCGCTGTGTGCACCGACCACCCGTGTCCTGAACTGTCCCCAGTGTGTGCACCGACCACTCGTGTCCTGAACTGTCCCCGCTGTGTGCACTGACCACCTGTGTCCTGAACTGTCCCTGTTGTGCGCACTGTCCACCTGTGTCCTGAACTGTGTCTGCTGTGTGCACCGACCACCCGTGTTCTGAACTGTCCCCAGTGTGCGCACCGACCACTCGTGTCCTGAACTGTCCCCCCCGCGGTGTGCACCGACCACTTGTGTCCTGAACTGTCCCTGCTGTGTGCACTGACCACCCGTGTTCTGAACTGTCCCTGCTGTGTGCACCGACCACCATGTTCTGAACTGTCCCCAGTGTGTGCACCGACCACTCGTGTCCTGAACTGTCCCCGCTGTGTGCACCGACCACCCGTGTTCCGAACTGCCCCGCTGTGTGCACTGACCACCCGTGTCCTGATGGCATGCCCGGAGTATAGCTACCTGGTGCCCCTGAGTGCTTGAGCCATCGCTACCCGTTGAGCCCCCGTGAACCCAATGTCCCTAGAAAGCTGGGTGGGAGCTGTGCTGAGGCCAGACTCCACAGCTAGAGTCCCATTGAGTTCCCGAGGCCCCTGCCCCATGGTAGGTTGCCGCCTGTTGCCCGAGGCCCCTGCCCAGTGGAAGGTTGCCGCCAGTTGCCCGAGGCCCCTGCCCAGTGGTAGGTTGCCACCTGTTGCCCGAGTCTCCAATCCGCTGTCCAGTCACGGAGGGAGCTCGGCTGAGGCCCCAAGCCTAGGGGGGAGATTGCCTGCCTGTGGCTGAAGACCTGGAATCGTCCCTGGTTTGTGCACACATCACCCTCCCTGCCATTTCCCCATTGAGTGTCTGTCATTTTGTTGCTTCAATAAAGTTTTGTGTGTTCCCCATCTTCTCCGTGTGCTCTGTCCTGCCTACGCTTCCGTTACACCAGTGCCCCCCCTTTCCCTGATGGCCAGTGTACCCCCTTACCCTGATTTCCAGTATCCTTCTTATCCTGATGGCCTGTGTCCCTCTTTTCCCCGATGGCCAGTGTTTCCCCCTTCCCCTTATGGCCAGTGTCCCACCTTACCCATATAGCTAGTGTCAACCCTAACCCAAATGACCAGTGTTCCCCTTACTCTGATGGTCAATGTCCCCCTTACCCAGATGGTCCCCCCTTACCCAGATGGTCAATGTCCCCCTTACCCAGATGGTCAATGTCCCCCCTTACCCTGATGGCCAGTATCCCTCCATACCCTTATGGGCAGTGTTCTCCCATACCCTGGTGGCCAGTGTCCCCTTTTACCCTGATGGCCAGCGTCTCCCCTTACCCTAATAGCCAGTGTCCCCCCTTACCCTAATAGCCAGTGCACCCCCTTTTAGCCTACCCCCTTTCCTAAAAGGCAGTGCATACCCTTTCTTTGATAGCCATTGTCCACATTTACCCTGATTTCCAGTATCCCTATTATCATGAGTGTCAGTGCCCCCGCTTATAATTATGGCCAGTGTCCCCCCTTACCCTGATGGAAAATGTCCACCCCTTACCCCTATGGCCAGTGTACCTCCATGCCCCTATGGCAAGTGTCCTCCTTTACCAATTTGGCCAGTGTCCCCCTTACCCAGATGGCCAGTGTCCTCCCTTAACCTGAAGACCAGTGTCCCCCCCTGGCCAATACCCCCTTACCCTGATGGCCAGAATCACCACATACCTGAGCATCCCCCCATACCCTGATGGCCAATGTGTCCCCCCCTTACCTTGATGGCCCCCCCATACCCTGATGGCCCATCCCCCCATACCTTGATGGCCAATGTCCCCCATACCCTGATGGCCAGTGTCCCCCCTTTCCTAAACGCCAGTGCCCCCCTTTCTTTGATGACCAGTAGCCCCCTTACCCTGATGGCCAGTGTCCCCACTTACCCTGATTGTCGGTATCTCTCTCATCCTGATGACCAGTGCCCCCTTACCCTGATGGCCATTGTTTTCTCTATTCCCTGATGGTAACTGTCCCCCTCTTACCCCTATGGCTAATGTACCTCCTGACCCCTATGGTCAGTATCCACCATTACCGACATGGCCAGTGCCCCCCCTTCCCCATATGGCCATTGTGCCCCTTTCCCTTATAGAGAGTACCTCCTCTTGCCCTAATGGTCAGTGAACCCCCTTACCCTGATGGCCAGTGTCCCCCTTACCTGATGGCCAGTCTACCCCCTTATCTTGATGGCCAGTCTATCCCTTTATCATGATGGCCAATGTTTCTCCCTTACCTTGATGGCCAGCGTACCCCTTACCCTGATGGCAAGTGTCCTCCTTACCCTGATGGCAAGTGTCCGCCTTACCCTGATGGCCAGTGTCCCCCATGCCCTGATGGCCAGTGTCCCCCCATGCCCTGATGGCCAGTGTCCCCTTTCCCTGATGGACAATGCACCTCCCCCTTAACGTTATGGCCAGGTCACCTCTTTACCCTGATGGCCATATCCCCCCTTACCTTTATGGCTTGAATCCCCCCTTACTTTGATGGCCAGTGCCCCCCCCTTTCCCTAATAGACAGTGTCCCCCCCTTACCCTGGTTGCCAGTATCCCTCTTTTCCTTATGATCAGTGCCTCCCTTACCCTGATGGCAAGAGTCTTCTCCATTCCCTGATGGCCAGTGTCCCCCTACTACCTCTTTGGCATGTGTCCCCCTGACACGTATTACTTTGTCCTCCCTTACCAAGATGGACAGAGTCCTTCCTTTCCCTGATGGCCAGTGTGATCCCAGTGTTCCTTTCCCTGATAGCTAGTGTGCCTCCTTTTTCTGATGGCCTTAATGACCAGTGTCCCAACTTACCCTTATGGCCAGTGTTCCCCCTTACCCTGTGGGTCAGAGTCCACTTTATCCTGATTACCAGTATCCCTCTTATTCTGTTGGCCAACCCCCTTACCCTGATGGCCAGTGTCCCTGCTTACCCTGATTGCCAGTATCCCTTTTATCCTAATGGCCAGTGCCCCCACTTACTATGATGGCCAGTGACCCCTCTTACCCAGATGGCCAGTGTCCCCCTTTACACAGATGGCCAGTGTCCCCCCTACCCTGATGGAGTGTCCCCCTTACCCATATAGCCAGTACCCCTTTCCCTGATGGCCAGTGCCCCACTTACCATGATGACCAGTGTTCCTCTTACCCAGATGGCCAGTACCCCCTTACCCTGATGGCCATTATCCCCCCATACCCTGATGGCCAGTGTCCCCCCATACCCTGATGGCCATTGTCCCCTGTTACCCTGATATCAAGTATCCCTCTTACCCTAATAGCCAGTGTCTCTCCATTTCAGAAAAGCTAGTGCCCCCATTTCTTTAATGGCCAGTTCCCCCTCTTACCCTGATGGCCAGTGTCCCTTTTATCCTGATGGCCATTTCCCCCCTTACCCTGATGGCCAATGTTTTCTTTATTCCCTTATGGCCAGTGTGCCCCCTTTCCATTATGGGCAGTGCCCCCTCTTGCCTTGATGGCCAGTGACCCCCCTTACCTTATGGCCAGTGTACCCCTTTACACTGATGGCCAGTGTCCCCCTTACCTTGATGGCTAATGTCCCCCTTACCCTTATGGCCTGTGCCCCCTTTCCCTGATGGCCAGTGTACCCTCCCCCTTAACTTTATGGCTAGGGTACCAATACTGCCAGTGTCCCCCTTTACCCTGATGGCCATAGTCTCCCCTTATCCTTGTGGCCAGAGTCCCCCCTTACACTAATATCCAGTGTCTCCCCTTTCCCTGATTGCCAGTGTTCCCTCTCACCCTTATAAAAAGACCCCCATTGCCTGGTTATTGCATTGAGAGACTGGGGAGCTGCTGTGTGCCTGGCTGTCATCACCCAATAGGGAATGGAACCTGGGACCAAACAGAGGGACCAGCTTGGGGTCTGCACTACACTTCTACAAATCCAACACCCCTTCCTTTACTCATAAGTGTTCCCACATATATTTCTGTCCAATCTGTCAGAGAGAAAATGAGGAGTGCTGATAGCAATCACAGACCCCCTGACATTCAGACTCCTCCATATTGTTACTGATGAATCAGGAAGATCCATCATTCTGGTCTGTGAGATAAATAACTCTCAATGTACCATTGTGACCCGATATCTGCCCGACTCCCCACCGCTTTCCTTCCTGTACAAAGTATGGAAAAAAGTGCAGAAAATCAGGAGAGGCCATTTACTCATATGTGCAGATTTCAGTGCCGTTCCAGACGTCACCATGGACATCTCTGACTCCTCCCCCACACATACCTGCCGACCGATGGCATGGAAATGCCTGAAAACTGCAAATAACCGCATTCCACCGACAGGTCCTACAGCATTTCTTCTAAGCCTCGCCTCACCTATTCATAGACTTGTTTATGGCAGATCAGATCTTTCTTCAACAGATGTCTAAGGCTGGCCATACATTAGACAATCTTCTTGTACAATTTTCCTTTAGATTTACCAAAACCATACAATTTGAGGTCCGACCTAAACACTTCCAATTTGTATGCAATCAGGCCAGCCCTTGTACTACATAGTGTAAGGTCCATCTAAAGGAGATTGAAGAAGAAGATTGTATAATGTATGGCCAGACTAATTCAGGGATCCTAAATGGAAGGGGTGTGCTGTGCTGGGGGAGGGGTTTATGGGAAGGCTGGAGGAGTATATAAACTAGGAAGGTGTCAAGGTCCTACCTTTTCCCAGAGGTTATGCTGCTCCATGTGCTGGCATCCATCTTGGGTTTCTGCAAAGCATGGTGGGAGCCTTTTATGCCTTCAGGCCTCTGCGGTCCATCCCCCAGAGGGGTGTGGCTGATCACATTTAAGCCTGTTGTCCGCACATGCTCTTTGCATTCGTGTCTTGTGTGTTCGTGTTGCAACAAGCTCTGTTTCTACTCTCGTGACTCTCCTGGAATCTGACTCGGCTTTTGACTAGACTATTCTCTGCGTTTTCCTTTGATCTGACCTCCCGTTGCTGAACCCGGCTTGTGACCTGTTATTCTTGTCTACCGTTCTGTACTGTCTGTCCCGCTGTTATCGACCCGGCCTGCCCGACTACGCTATTGTCTTATCTGGTTCCTACCAGCTACAGGCCATTGGCCGCGGCCATTACCACAGCTGGGGTGTCTCGGGGGCCAAGACCTGGTCCCTGGCTGCGTCAAGTCCATCCCCACCATCAGGGGCCCTGGTGAAGGGCAGCCAGGGGCTTAGACTGCGCACCCTGAGGGACTCTGGTCTGTGGGTGGTGGTTGTCGTCAGTCAGTGCGTGACCCTGCCATTAGGCCTGCCTGTCCATTCCATAGTTCCTGTCCTGACATTACACACGTGCCATGAACCCTGACGGTGCAGGTACGCCTTTGCTTCCCATGTTAGTCGCCAGACTTGATCAACAGAATCTCCTGTTGGATCAGTTTGCCTGGTGCTATTAGGCCGGTTGTCACTCCGGTGGTTGCTCCCGCTGCTGCCCCAGTTGTTGCGCATACCGCCGCGGCTGCTGCTGCACCCGCGGTATCCAGAGGTATGACTGGTTCAGCTCCTCTTCCACAGCGCTTTGGGGGTGAGCCGAGTCAGTGTCGTGGGTTCCTCAACCAGGTGGGTATTTATTTTGAGTTAATACCCCACGCTTTTCCGACTGAGAGGTCAAAGGTGGGTTTCCTCATCTCGCTGCTCTCAGACAAGGCCTTGGCCTGGGCAAATCCCTTATGGGAGAGGAATGACCCGGTGATTCACGAGTTTTCCGGTTTTGTCGATGCCTTCCGTAGGGTATTCAATGTACCGGCTCGCTCCGCTTCGGCTGCCAAGCTGCTCATATCCATGCATCAGGGTTCATGGACCATTGCCGAGTACGCCATAGAGTTTCGTACCCTGGCAGCAGAGGTGGGTTGGAACAATGAGGCTCTGGTGGCTGCGTTTTCTCAGGGTCTTTCAGGTGCGTTGAAGGACGAGATCGCAGCCAAGGAACTGCCTGTGGAGCTGGAAGCACTCATTTCCTTCCTAATCCTGATTGACACCAGGCTCAGGGAGAGGCCTTCACTCAAGGAACGCCTGCGGAGGCCTCCCAACCGACTGACACCTGCTTTTTCTTTC